CCCCCTAAGCCTCCCCACAGAAATCTTATCAGTTCATCTCATTGCTCAGATTGCAGTGTGGCAGCTAAGCAAAGCCCTGCCCAAGTCCTCCTTTGCCTGGACCTGTTCCAGGCACTGTCATTTATCCCTGTGTGCTCCCCTGTAAATAGCGGCTGTTGCTACAACCTCCAGTTAGTCCAAGAAAACCAGGGACCCCAGGGATGAGGTGAAGCTCAAATGCTTTGACACAGAGAGCCTTTTAAGATACCCAACTTAATGACACAGCCCCTCGGGAGCACTCTTTGCTTCTCCTCTTCCTTTGAGAAATGCCACTTTAATAAATTTCACATTCAGTTAAAGTGCTTTGAAATAAAGATCACTGCAAGAGGAAAAAAAAAAAAATCAGTATTTTGTGGTTTTCTTCCCTGAAAGCAAGTGTGTCCTGGCACTGCAGGCTGGCTGCCAACATCCAGCCCTTCACTTTGGGGTCAGAGCAGGGTTGAGGTGAACTGCACAGCCCCGACAGCAGATACCCATGTCAGGACTCCTGCAACCCAATCCCTGTGGATCCTGTTTATAAATCAAGGTCCCTGACGTCTGATGAGAGCAGAGATGTTTGATAAAAGCCACTTCAACAGACAGCATACAGAACAACCATTGGAAAATTAGGTTCCTGCTTGGAAAGTTTAGTGGTGGACTTGGCAGTGCTGGGTTAATGGTTGGACTCAATGATCTAAAAGGTCTTTTCCAACCTAAACATTTAATGAGAGCAAGACTCCTTTTTTCCCAGATGGATATCCAGTACTCTGATAACCTCCAAACCTGCTCCATAGCTGCCCTGTGTCAGCTGAGTGAGTGAATTCAGTTGTTCTAATCACTTTGCCAGCAGCTATGTTTGCTCACAGCAAGAGGTTCTTGGGGCCTCTGCTACGTGTTTTACGTGTTTTCCCAACAAAGCGCTGGTGAGACCGTGCACTTCAAATCCCAAACTAATCAGGGGCCAAGACACAGCCGGGAATGGTGAGCCTGTGCTCACCTGAACTCCTCGGCATCGGCTACGAACCCATAGCAGACCCGCTCCGTGGGATCCACCCCACACCAAACACCACCAGCCTGAAGACAGGTCAGCAGCTTTACATGATCTTCGAGGAAGACACAGCAAATCTGCTCTGGCAGGGATGCGTCTTGGGAAGCAGTGCACAGCAGGAGCTTCTCTCCTTCCAGCATACTTTACAGATCCATCTTTAAATAAAAGCCATTTAATTGCATGTCTTTATGTACTGTGGGCATATGCATTTAGGATATCAGAGACTATGCAAGGGCTCGATTCCTTGCAGGTATTGTATCCTTGTGGGGATATTGTGTCTCGGCTGGCGGGATGAGAGGACAGCCAGGCTTACTGCAACAGCCCCCATCCCAAATCATGCACCTTGCCTGGCATCCTCTTCTAGGACCTCAACAACGGGAAGCAGCAAAAACTACAGACCTGGATATTTCAGCTGATGGGCAGATGTCCAAACCAAAGCAAAGCAGATGTGGAAAAGCAAATGATCGGAGGATATATCAAACAAGGTTATTTATAGAAGAGAAAAGGAAGTTTCGATGCTTTTATAGGAGGTTCTGGTAAAATTTCATCTAGAGTGTTTTGTATAGCTGTGGTCATGCAAACAAAGAAAAATAAACTCAAGCTCTAGGAGGTGCAGAAGACAGCTGCAAAGCTGAGGGGAGGGAAAGAAAGCTTATTTTATGAGAAAAAACTAAAGAGGTTGGCTTGTTTAACCTAATAAAATCAAGATAGGGAGTATGCCTGTCACCTATAAATACATAAAGGAAGTAAATATTATGAAGGTAGAACCGATTTAAGCTAAAGGGCAGCACACATAAATATTTCTAGCCACCCCTAAATTTAGGCTAGAAGCTGCATTTTTAATCAGAGCAGCCAAGTTCTGGAGTAGCTTCAAATAGAAGTGGAAGGAACAGGAAATCCAGCTGGTCTTTGACCTGAGCATGATCTGTTCTTTGACAGGACACAGCTGAGAGGTAACAGGTCAGACTCCACACAGTCCTCAGTGCAAATGGGGTAAGGAGTTGATGACTGGTGAGGGTACCAGCACCAATGCCCATGGTTATCCTGTCCCAACCAGCATCTGCCAGGAGCCAGTGGGAACCTGCACACCCCCACACTACCCATCTGCATGGCAAGGGGGCCGTATGACACAGGGAAATAGGGTGTTTTAACCCAAACCTCTCAAAAAAGCCAATGTTTTGGTGTCAAACATGGCAGAAAGGGCTGCAAGGTGCCTTTTGGGAAGGCACAGCAAGGAGTTTTAATTTCCTAGACACCTTCAGACAGCCGGAGAGCAATCTTGCGGCGAGAAGCCTTGCTGTAGTGAGGAAGCTTGAGGACAACATCTGGACTGAGCTGCTGCCAAATTCAACAGCTGGAATACCTGCAAGCTGCAGCTGCCCTTCAGAGGACACGATAATGCCTGACCAAGGCACCCGCTTGGGAACACAAGGCAGAGGGGAAGGGAGTTACCATGGCCACAACGCCTTGCTGGCAGCTGGCTCTCAGCAACGTGAGACTCCAAAATTAAGACACATGGTAGTTTTTCTACTTCTTTTCTGTGCAGCTCGAGCACGTCAGAATAAACTTTCTTTTCTCCTTAACCATAAAATCTCACCTGTTCTCCAGCAGCTTTGGGGGTGGAAGGGAAACACTGGTGATGGCTCCCAGGAGCACATACCTGACTGTGCAGGAGTGCGTGCCTGCGGGGCACTCCTCCACCACGCTGCACATGCCTGGCGTTGTTTCCATCCCACAACCAAGTTTGCAGAGAAAAGTATTTTGTCTACAGATGGCTGGAATCTGCTTACGAGCAGCAAGAGGATCTCAGAAGGAGTTTCAAGCCGATCACCACCACAATCCTAGAAACTATCAACGGGAATCATCTAGAAATGAAGCAAATCACACCTTCTCCAGGCTCCAGTGGGAAGCTCCTGGGAGTCTGGGGACATCAACTCTCAGCATCTTCTTTTAAATAAAATTATAGCAAATTTCTTCGAAATTTAAGGGGAAAAAGTATAGGCAACCACATCTCATTGTAAACCCTGACCCATCTCAGAGGGCACAGCCCTTATTATTTTTTAGCAGGGTTTAAGCACATCAGCAAGATCCAGAAGTACTGTGCTTTTACTGCTCCAGCTGAGAAAGGCAAAGCAGCCTGAGAAAAAGACCAGACAAATTCGCCGTGAAACTTTCCAGTAAAACAAAAATGCACCTCAGCACCCAAAATTGCCTACGCAGTTCTCACTAGCCAGGAATCAAATCCCTGCAGCAAAGGTCAGCTGTGCTCAGCAGCCAACATGCATTCCCTGCAAGGAGAGCCCTTCCAGAGACAGCAGCTAAGTGAGAACCTGCTGCACTTTTAAAATTGATTTCAAGGTGAACAGATGCAAGATGCACATGGGTAAGCCCAGGGACGAGCGTGAAAATCGCTCCCAGAGTATGCTGAACTACACACAACCAGCAGCTGCTGGTGCTGATCCAGCCCAGTCCATTCTAGGCTCTCCAGGTATGTTGGTGTTAACCAACACACCTCACACCAACACGGCAGAAGTATCGTTTGAAGCCATCAGGTGGGGTGGAAATAATCCATCAGGATTTTCCTGCATCCACTGGAGCTATCAGAGATGATTTTTGTGCCAGGAAAAGACGACAGAGGAAGCTGCGGTGTTACACAAACACTGACAATTATTCCTGCCATCAAAGCAGCTATTAGACAACATTAGAACAAGCCACTTGGATGCAAAATCCCAAACCAAAGTTATCATTTCTGTAACATGAGATCTTGGGCTCACCACACCTGCCTGGGCTCCGGCAGCCCAGTGCTGTCCAGGTGCCCCGTGCTCCGAACAGGCTGCGGGAAAAGCCGGGCAGAGACCTCGGCCATGGTCAACTCAACGTCACTGAGACCAGCCCAGCCCCTTCCCCAACTCCTCTGGTCCCTTCCCCGACTCCTTCCACGCCTTCCTCCTCCCCGTCTGACCCTCTGTCAGTAACAGTTGCATTCTTTGGATTTTCTGCCCACCCAGCACCCTCGCTAGAGCCAGCAGGACCACGTACCGGGATTGGGATAACTGTGTGACAGTACACAGAGCTAAACCAAACCTGCCTTCAAGCAGAGGCTGAGCTGTCAGACTTGCTCCTGACCTGCTCTCCATCTCCCTCTGATCTTCCAAGACACTCCAGAAGCTTGTCCTGTTATAACGCTTCTAAAAATGGATATTTAAAACTTATTTTCAATTTTGCTCTTTGGAAGGTAATTCTGTTTTTTAAGAACAGAATTTTCTGAACTCCACATGATCCAAACAAACCCTCCCAGGGACAGGACTAACAATGAGCACACCTGTGTTCAGACACATCCCTACCCTCCTCTGGGCTATTCTAACACACTCCTGCACTCAGAACTGATTCCAAAACTCAGTTTTCAGGTGCCTGCAGTGCCAGCAGCGTGAGGTTTAAGTCAGATAAGGGGGAAAGGCTCCCATCTTTCCCAAGAGGACTTAGGGACAAGGTCAGGAGAGACTGTGTCACAGGCAGCCCAGAGCCCCGTTGGCAGGACAGAGTCTGTTTGTCTAGCCATGTTTTGTTACCACAGTGAAACAAACTCCCCAAGCCTGAGCAGCAATCCCAGGGAATCTACGGCTCCCTGGATCCTGAGGCAACATCTCCTCACAGATGTGCCCATCATTCCAGGGGCAGAGCATCTGAGTTTAAATACAGCCAACAAACCTGATTAGTCATCCCTGAGAACTTTCCTCTCCTTTGTTACAGAGAAAGGAACTTTGCAATAAGGTGAGACTTTTATTTTTTAATAAAAATCCTTTTCCCATAGTCCTACAAAACATTAAGGCTGCTTCGCAGCCACCCTCATGACCCAGGTCGATAATGGGGTGACTCACTCGACTCCTGCATGAATATAACTGAAAATGAGCCCTCAGGGAATGGTGTTTCTCACCTGGACAACTTCTCCATTGGAAGCAATTAAATCTGTGGGGATGGAGACTCTGAAGTAGCGTCCCACCACCGCAGAGCTGTCCGGTATGCCCACCACAGCCGGCACAGTCTCCCGGAGGTCCGAGAGCACGGAGTGCATGGAGGCCTCCAGCTGGTTTTCCCAGTCCCGAACCACTTCTGCCGGCTCGCTGGGCCAGTGGCAGTGGGCAGAGGCTGCCAGCAGCAGCATGGGGAGCCAAGTCCTCCCCAGGAAAGGGGGTTGCAGTAGGCATCCAACAGTCATTCTTCCCAGGAGCCTCGGTAACGGTGCTCCAGCCAGAAAGGGGATCGCAGGGAATCTGCAGGCACGGCAGCGCAGGCAGGGGATCCACCAGTCCTTCACAGCAGCCTCATTCTAGGAGTCCTGGGAACCTGGTTAGACATGGGAAACCCAATCAGCACATTAATTATGGTACCCAAGCCATCCATCCAACACCCACAGACTTTGCAATGGGCAGAGATACTGGCCACGCAACCGTCTGTGCCTCAGCTTTTGATTTAACTGCAAGCTGCCACTGCCATTAAACAGAGGAAGGGTTTCTCAGCTCCTCCTCTGATGTACAGCATCTCCAGAGAAACAAGATCCTCCTGCTTTTCCACACATATAGCTGTGTTTCTGCTGTTCTGGAGCCACAGCATCCTGAGACAGCCACAGGTAGGGAGACAGGGCAGATACAAATGAAGCTGAGATTGAGCACAGTGGTAAGAGCTGACCTCTCAAGGCAAGATGAAGTCAGGCTGGGACATTAGTGGATTTAAATGCCAGTTACCCAGTAGGAAGGTCCCAAGAAAACCCCGGAACTCCAAAGCTGTCATCCTGATGGATTGATGCATGACAGATGTTTCTGCTCCTCTGACCCACAAGCCTGGTTTTCAAGCCAGGTCTCCTCTCAGGTCCAGCTTTTGGTATTAATGTTTAGACTTGATCGGGGGGCCAGCAATACACACCCCCAAATCAGACTGGAATGAGCTATGCACACACCTTGTTCCATGCTGCCATCCAGCTCCCTCCTGCTCACACAGCTCGTCTGTCCCCTCACTCTGCCAAGACACATCTCCAGCTCTCCCTCTGTTGTTTTTCTTTCACTTGCTCCCCCCCACTCTCTCTGCTCCCCTGGATCACAGATCTTTCGCTCCTCTGTTCCTTTGGTGCATTATTTCCTTCCCTTCCCTAGCTGCTTCTCCCTCCAGACCATGTTCAGCCACAGCACACAGTCACAGATCTGTGCCACCATGTTCCTCCTCACAGCCTGCTTGCAGGAGACCAATGGATCCATGGAACAGGACAGAACTGTTTGGGACCCCAAGGAAGCTGTACTCTCCACTCTGGCATTCTAGTTTGCAGCCAGCACAGCCCTCAGTAACCAATCTGCTGTACCAAGGGGGACGGTGGGTTATGAAGGACAGGTGGACAGACACATGGACAAGCAGGTGTTAGTCCCAGGAGCACACAGGACTGGGCTCTCACAGGCCAGGCACTCATTCCTTGAACCAACTCCTTTTTTCTAGGCTGGAGAGAGAAGTGGCTCCAAATTCCCAGAGCAAACCCAGCCCAACTTCTAACCACTGGCTCCCAGGGCTCTGTGATTTATTTTAGCCTGTTTTGTCTCCGCTGTGTGATGCACATCAGGCTGTCCCAAGAGACCCCGGAGCCAGACCGTGTGGGAAGGGAAATCCCACTGCTTCTCACCCTTGCAGAGCTCCTAGAGCAACATGACAGGACTCAGCTGACCTGCTGTGCTGTGGCCAGACAGGGTGTATTGCCCCCATGGGCTTGCAGAAGCAGGCAGAGGGTTTGCCCATGCAGGCCCCTGAGCCCAAGGCTACCACAGCAGGCTCTAGGAATAACAGGAGAGATAAGATGTGGTTGCTCATCCTAAAGCCTGCACTCTAGAGAAGCTGAGGGGCAGCCTGCAAGGACCTGCACCCCTCAATGGGCCTTTCACAACAAACCCCACATGCAGAGGGGCTGACACCTCCCAGCCCGAGGTAACGGGCCCAGGGCACTGCTGGAGCTGGCAAAGAGGCTGTGGGTAGTAGGAATTATGAGCCAAATGTAACCTCTGGCTACAGCATCCACGAGGCAGACATCTGACCTGACCGCTGTCAGTTGTGGAAAACCTGCCTTGAGTGAAAAGGCAGAAGAGACAGCAGAGGCAGAATAACACTGCTGGGAACCACAAGGCAGATGGGAGGGTGGCTGGTGTGATGGCCAGTGCCACAAGAAAGCCCACTCCCTGCTGCTCTTGTGCTTCCAACTGTCTGAGCTGACTTGGATGGGAATACACCAGACAAAACAACAGGGAAGCCAAGGCCAGGCTGTCCCAAAGGCAACTGAGCACAGAATCATACATAGTATATGCTGAGTTGGAAGGGACCCATTGGGATCATCAAGTGCAACCTCTGGCCCTGCGCAGGACACCCCAAGAATCACACCATGTACCTGAGAGCGTTGTCCAAATCCTTCTTGAACTCAAGACAGGCTTGGTGCTGCAACCACTTCCCTGGGGAGCCTGTTTCAGTACTCAATCACCTTCTGGGTGAAAAACCACCAGTATGTGGTGGTACTCATCCAGAGTGAGGTGCTTGAGCTGCCTCTCCAGAGGTTCTCATCATGAAGTAGCTGGAGGGTAAGGACAAGTCACACTCCCTACAGGGCACATCTCTCCTACAAGCTCCCTGTGTGGTCAAAGGAGGATCTGACACACATCAGTTTGCTTTGGATGAACCTAGAGTGACGTCAGCAGGCAAATGACCAGTAGATGTCTGGCGGAGAATATCCAACAGGGCATGTGAAGGAGCTACACAGATGGAGCACACGTGCAAGAGGTCCTAAGGAGGCCACTGATCATCACAGCAGGAATCAGGGTACTCCCATCCCCACACTGTGCCTTAAAAAGCAGAAAGAACCACCTTCACCCTCCATTCAACCCCAGGATGGCCAATGCAGTGATGACGCTTTGTCCACGAGCTACTTCTCCCGAAGCCTGCTCCTTGGAAAGTCCTGATATGTATGGCAAGTACAGGCAGGATCAGAGTCTTGAAGCCAGGAGAGGAATGTGGCAGCAGCCTCATGGCTGCTGCAGGGTTGAGATGCTATCAGGGAAACATGGCTGCCTCTCACTGCTGCTCTGAGCAGCCACACCCGAGCAGAGAAGAAGCACCTCAGACACACTGAGACCCAGCCCACAACCATATGGAGCTGTAAAGATGCCCAGAGAGGTTTAGCACCACATCTTCAGGCCAGTCCCAGCCCCTGCCCTTGCCCTGTCACACTGCTCTGGAGCTCTGCGTGAGTGTGGTGCAGCTCTGTGTTGCTCAGTCAAATGACGTGATCTGGCCTGGGGTGTTTTTGTTGGATGGAGAGGAGTATTTGGGCAGAAAGGAGCTGGTTCTTGATATCCGTGGTGAGCAGAAGAGGAAGATGAAGTCATCACCTATTTCAGAAACGCTTATCAGAGCAGGCAACAAACACTGTCCAACACATGCCCCTCAGCCCAGCAACTGGCCATTAAGTGCTCATGTGACACTTGCAGGTTGCAAAATTCAAGGCTTCTTTTTAAGGGGAACTACAGAAGAACTGGCTCAACATATGGAAGTGGAGCATGGAGGAGGTATAGGAAGAATTCAGTAGCTGATAACAAAGAACAAACAGAAGAGGTGAGAACAAACTTGCACCGCCAAAAAAAAAAATAAAAATCTCTTAACACAGCTCCGCCTCACCACACAATGGACAGAAGCTGAAACACTGCCAGCCTCTCACAGTGTGGGCTGAGGAGGAAAGGCAGGGTGGTTCCAGATATCCGTAGAGCTGTACAAGGCACTGCCCTGCAGTGCTGAGATCCACGTGGACTTTCACTGCAAGGCAGAATGCTTTTTGGGATAGGAGGCCCACTGCCTAAAGCCAGTAGTGCTGCTCTGCAAGTCCACTGGCCACCAGCACTGTGGGTCTGGATGCAGCTGCAGAACAGAGTGAATGTTACCTGCAGCAAAGCTGGAACAAGAGCTGGGGACCTGCCTGGTGCCTCTGCCAAGTTCAAGAGCCCACACCATCTCCCATGGCACTACCAAGGGCACAACTTCATTTAAGAGACAACTTCATTTAAGAGATCATCCTAGTTTTATGTGGAAAAAGTCTGTGTTCTGGACCATTGTCCAGAGGCACAGAGCTTTAGCTCTCTGGAAGCAAAAACCTCAACATTTCACACAAGTTTCCCACAAAATAGGGTCAAAACCCAAACACAGATGGAATTCTGCAGGCACTTTTCTGCTGATCTCTGAGAAGCATCAGGCCATAGAGCTGACTGACTTAGACAGCACTTTCCAGTTACAATGGAAGGCTAGACCACCCCAGCTTCTCTACACGGCACTGTGCTCCTCCTTTCAGTAGGATCTGCACTGCCCAGTTTCTCAGAACAAACACAAAGGTTCAGGTTAGTCCTGAATTTCAGGATGTTTTGTTCCATCTGATCTTCTGAAAGAACTGACTTTCTCTTTATTCTCCTACTTCTGTGAGAGCTCTTTTGGTCTCAAGTTCGAGCCTCCAGAGCATTGGATGAAACATCAAAGTCAGTATCAACATCTGCTACAGTCCTAGTGCTCAGTGCATGTGCCAAGGTTGATTCCTGATCTCCAGTGCCAAACCCCCCATCACAGAGCCATGGAACTGGGCCTGCTTGGTGATGTTGATATGATCCTGCACTTGATATGATGCTGACTTGTCAAGGCAATGCTGGAGCTTGCTCCTTCTCCGTGCAGCTACAAGGCCTGCTGACATGGTAAGGACGTGCTGTACCTTCATTATCCAGGAATGCTGAACAGTGCAGGCACAGGATGGGACTGAAGGGAAGGACTGAAGGCAGGACAAAGTAGCTACTCCCAGGCACGCATTTTCCCAGACACCTTTCCTTCTGCCCACCACAGAACCAGGAGCACAGGGCCAGGGGAAGCATCCCAGCGTGGCTGCCCTAGAAATCACTCTTCCTCTGTGGCCGATTACGGCACCACTTCGGCAAGAACCAGTGAAAGTGAAGTCTCCCTCCAGCTGCGTCTAATCCAATTGCTCAAGCACACAATCACATCACTGGGCTGTGGTAATTAATCACCAGCAGCATATTAATGCCACTGAGCCCCAGCATGCAGAAAGCTCAAGTAAGTGTTGTGCAGTACTCGACTCCAGTTAAGAAGGTATTTAGGAGTTAGGACGAATCCCACTTACCTGATTGCTTATTTACCAATATCTTCATTAAAGGAAGCATTAAACAAGTGGCCTTTCTCTAAGGAAGCAAACTCAGACTTGGCTAAGAAGAGCCAGTGCAACTTTCCAGAGCAGGGAAGAGCTTTTTTCTCTGCAAAGATCTCCTGTGCGTGTT